TTATATTACTTAATTTACAGTGTAACAAAAGTGCACATGCTGGCTATGCTAATACTTTATTCTAAATCTGTTCAACATACAATTAAATATCATCAAGTATCAATAATTGAGACTGCATTCTATCAGAACCTTGTGGCTAGAAAGAGGTGCTGAGGATATAAAATATACAGAAAGAAAACTGAAGACAAAGTCCACAACTTCAAAATATTGTCCATGCTAGGCTGGAGTGGAATATCGCTCCCTATGGCAAATATTAAATACGTATTTGCTGCATTAATAATCCTGCTTACATTCAGTCAGACATTGCAAAGAACATTGTAATTTTTTTTTTTGAAGCAGAGTGAAAGTTTTATTTAGTTACTTAAAGCAAGGAGAGGCACCCTGAAAGGTTGGAGGCTGGAGAGAGAAAGTTTCATATTAAAAGGTTACGCACTTAAAAAGTGCAGGCGACCTCAGAGAGAGGAGCGTCAAAACATTGTAATATTTTTAAAAGGTCTGCCTCACTATATTTCTAATTTTTTTAACTGCCAAGTTCAATAAAAAATGAAGATAAAATACAGTGATTAAAAATAGTGATGAGTATGTCAGTATGCTCCTTTGAAGAGGATACACCTTATACCTTGTACATACCAGGTTACTTTGATATACCCATGAACTTCCAATCCTCTTCCAATTAGGATTTAACAACTCTTCTTTGGCACTGCCATTTGAAATAATTTATTACAGATATACAAACAAAAAATATACTTTAAATTTAAGGAGAAAAGTAAAAAAAAGCCAGTCTAGATTAGAAAAATAATTATACTAATAATCAACAAAAGGAGAAAGTTATTTTGAAGTTGAGATTATAAAACTAATAACAGCAGCTAACAGTTAACTATGCAAATTGTGCCTGGCTGAGATGTATAATACCCCACTTACACTTTCCTGTTCACAGCTCTACTTTAGAAAGCTAAGACCCTCCCTCAAAAAGAAAAAGAGCTAGAGAGAAGATATATATATATATAGAAAGAGAGAGAGAGAGAGAGAGAGAGAGAGAGAGAGAGAGAGAAAGCAAATTCAAGGTTTTTATCTAAATCATGTTCTATACTTCCTAGCATTATTTTCACCAGACTTAAATAGCTTCCTTTAAAAAAAACAAAAAACCAACTTTACAGGGATTTTATTCCTGTCAACATCCTAAGCTTTAATTACTTTAGTCATACCACCATTTAAACACAAAAGATTCAGGCAAGAAGGGTGGTCATGAAAAAAGCTTGGGCTGTGAACAAAAACCTAGTTTGAATACAGACTACCAGTTGCTAGCCGTGTGACTCTAAACTCACTTAACTTATTTGAGTTACATTTCCCGTATCTATACAGTACTAATAAGAGCTGTTTTAAGAGTTTTAGTCAGTCTAACACAATACTGGATACAAAACAATATTCAGATTTCATTTCTCTTTCCTTTCCTCAAGTAATAACTTTTTTCTGGCTGAGAAAAAGGAGTAATTCTGGAACATGAGACATCTGGTTGCCTATCTGGATATGGTGAGGTCTTTGAACTGCTAAGGTACAGCACGAAGGCATAGGATAGCGGGAAGAGGAGGAAACTGGGATAAGGAAGCCAAGTGTAGACATGCCACTTGTTGCAGGTTGTCACAAACTCCCCCTACTCCATTCAATCTCCCAAATCAAGGTTTGTCCAGTCTTGTACACTCAAGCCTTGCCTGACAGTCACTACTCCTTTCCAAGTAGAAAGTAAAGAATACTCAACCTTTCTTTAAAGGAAAGCAAATGATTGACAATGTATGCTCTTGGTGACATCATTCCTCTGAGATTCCTTCCCCCTTCCTCTCCACCTTTATTATTCCTATAGTACGTAGCTTTCCTAGAGTCAGCAACCCCTATGACTGTGAATGATCTCCTGCACAAACAATTTTAAACTATCAAATTCTAAGCACCAAGATTCTAGAAAGGTGCAAAAATCTTATTTGTTTCAAAGGTTTCTTTAAACATAACATTTCATCAAGAAAAGAAACCTTTAGTATTTTATCTTAAAACCACATAAGGACATAATTAAAAGGTCTGAGTATCAAACAAGGCCACCTATCCATACACATCTTGTTCACAAAAGTGTCCCAGAAACTCAAAATAAAATCCCTCTGTTTATTTCTAGGAGACACTACTGTAGTTTTCTGTATCCAGCAGTATGCCTTACATACCCAAGGCAATTATGTTTTCTTCCTCTACTCAAACAGAGCATCTGTTGCTAACTTAACACTGAAGTCCAAGTTATTTTCACAGACAAAAAAGCAGCTGGTCAAGCTAATCCATCTGCTGACTAGCCCCCATCAAGCTGCCATAAAATTGTCCAGTTAACTTAACCTCCGTTGTCAAACTGCATGAATCAGAACTTCCAATCCTCTTCCAATTAGGATTTAACAACTCTTCTTTGGCACTGCCATTTGAAATAATTTATTACAGATATACAAACAAAAAACATACTTTAAATTTAAGGAGAAAAGTAAAAAAAAAAGCTAGTCTAGATTAGAAAAATAATTATACTAATAATCAACAAAAGGTGAAAGTTATTTTGAAGTTGGGATTATGAAACTAATAACAGCAGCTAACAGTTAACTATGTGTGCTAGGCACCAAGTGATTTTTAAATATTAACATGATCTTCACAATAACTTTTTGAGGTAAATAAAATTGTTTTTTCTATTTTACAGATAAGGAAATGGAAACACAGCAAATTACCCAAGTTCATGAAGCTCATAAATAGGACTCTCAGAGACCTGGCTCCAAAGCCATACCCTTCATAATTTAAAATCCAAATCCCAGTGCCTTACAAACAGGTGTATGTTCAAGCCATCTTCACCCTTTGCCACTTACAGTTCCTAACCATTTTCCTTAAACTGACTAAGGAACCATCCCAACTATTATTTTCATTGTAACATTCTGCAACAGGAAAGGAAAATCATGCTAGGATGCTACTTACTGTCTTCCCTAAAGATAAACAAATTTACAGTTTAGCTCATTATTAGTGAGGTATATAATTGATTCTACAGTAATTCATGAGAAAAAGATGCTCAAATGCAGAGTATTAACTGGTTATAACCATTAATACCAGACATTCATTTTAAATAAAACAAAACAAAGGGTTTTTTATCAGAAATATTATATGAGACCACCAATAAAAGTTGACACATTTTCTTAAACTGATAAGTTGATTCTCAAAGTTATCACAAATAAGATACATTAATACCAGTAAGATAGAACAGCTAGTTCTTTCCTATCTCTGGGAAAATTGCACATATGTTGTAGGTATTCAAAAACATCATTTGGTATAAGACCAATTAAGTTCAAATCTTAGCTTTATGACTAGCAATATGATCTTGCAGGAGTCACAACCTTCAACCCTTGAGTCCTTTTTAAGGGAGGGATAATGCATGCCCTGGCAAAATAAGTGATCTATATCAAAACACATTTGTAAATTGTATTTTACAGTATTCTAGTACTTATTTAAAATGTTATATGTGTTTTCGTATTGAATGATTTTGCCTTATTTTTACAATAACCCTATAAAATATTCTTTCTTACTCTGAAAGAGATAAATTACAATCACATTTAATAAATCATGAGGCAATAGATTATAATCACATTAAGTGATTTGCTCCATATCGCAGACCTAGTAAATAGGAGCATGGAACCCAAGTCTCTGTACTCCAAGTCTTTGCCCTGAACTAATGTCCATCCAGATACCATACAACTTTTATCTAAAATGTTAAATAAGCTGTGAAATGTTTTACAATTTTGGGCAGAAATATTTTAAAGGTTTACATATTCAAAAATGTAATACATTTTAACATTGTATACAAACACAAATACACTTAACATTGTATACAAATTAAAAAATGTAATTTTTAAAAAATGTCTTACTAATAGGGAAATAAAAATTAAGGAATGAATTTCAAGATGAGTTTCAAGATGCACCCACACAATGAAATTATGTGCACTTCAGTTCAACACTGTAATAGACAAGGCTTAACAATCTACACTATTCTCTTATGCCTCCAGTGATTCTCAAGAAGGTGAAAGAGGCAAAATTACAAAAAAATCTGTCCTAATAAGTCTTTGCGGTGTTTTCTAATAATAGAAAAGAATGGCCTCTTAGGTAGGCCGTTGTTTTTCCCCGCTACATTATTAATAACATTTGTGTTTCCTTCTGATACTGTCCTATATTTCAATAACTATAATCTGACAGAAAGCAGGGTGGTTGATTTCTATATAGGAATTAACGACTGAATATTAACAACTCACTTCTAACTGTATTCAAATTACTGGCTATGTTCTCTAAATATTTTTGTTTCTTAACTGAAACAACTAGTTCTGCATAGCCTTTCCTCAACTTCGGAAGGTAAAAAACATGCCATTACAACTACCAAGTAACTAATCAGAAACATCAAACTGGTCAAGGAGCGTGGGACGACTGCCTGACAACTGCTGTCTTTTCCCTCAATTCAACCAATTCTAAACAGTAAGACCTGCTTATGCACTGGTCACGAGACGGGCAGGGGATGAGGGGCAGAAGGCGGTACTATGGAGACGTGGTGCCTGACCTAAAGCAGCATGTATTGTGCCAATACAGAAAACTGGGTGGAGAGAGCATCAGCTTCGGCGTCAGCAGGTAGAGCCCGTGTACCCTGCCTCATCTGCTGCGGCATGAACCCACACTAGAACAGGAGGCTTCAAGAATCAAAGGGGGCCTAGAGCGCCGCAGAAAATGATTTAAAAATGGGGATGGCTCCCTGTTTTGCCCACAGGAGCCAGGACTCTGTACAGGACCAAGGGCAGAGGCCAGCCTGGGTCCCCGGGCGCGGTCCCGGCAGGCCGGTGGGCGCCGCTCTGCTCCCAGGAGGGAGGGAGGCCAGGCGGCCTCCCCACCGCCCCCTCAGCCCGGGCACCCCGCCCACCTCCGCCCAGATCGGGGGACCCACGCCCCGCTTTCCCGCTTACTTTCTGGGAGTCCATGACCAGAGGCTGCCTGCCGGTACCGAAATCGCGTCAAAGAACAGTGTGAGGAGGCGGACGGAAGCCGGCCCCGCCGAAACCGCGCCCCACGACAACTCCCCGCCGCCAGCGCTGCCGCCGCAGCCCGAGTCCGCACCCCGCCGCCGGCCTCGCCCCGTCCGCGCCCCGCCCGTGCGCGCGCCGCCGTCGCGCCGCGGTTGCCAAGGTGAGAGGGCAGCCCGCGGGAGGGAGGGCGCCCTGCGCATGCGCTCCGCCGCCGGAGGGGCCGGGCTGAGGGTGTCGGGTGCTCGTCCCTAGTCCCGCGAGTCCTTTGAACGAACCTTTCCGCCATCCGCAGGCCTTGGAATGGAACCCTGGGCAGCCAGCGGCCGGCCTGCGAGAAGGGCACGGAAGGAAAGCCATGGCCCTGGAAAGGGTTCAGCCCCATTCCATCCTGCTTGCCACCTATACGCTGGCCGTGGCGGAGCACCCAGGCTAGACCAGGCCCAGCTGTACAGTGAGAAGGAAAGGGCTGGAACGGGGTCGTAGTGGAAACATGGGAGAGACCAGTAGGAACGTGGCAGAAACGTGGGAACACTGTGGAGACTGGAAGACCTTTCCCAGAGAGCCCCGCTGGGCATCTTGCTACCTGGGATTGATTGATTGATTGATGTATCATTGATACACCATCTTATGAAGGTTTCACATGAGTAACATTGTGGTTACTACTTTCACCCATAAATCCAAGTCCCCCCCACACCCCATTGAAGTCACTGTCTATCAATGCTACCTCGGATTTATAACAAGCACTGTCCCTAAGCCTATTTCATCTCCAGCAAAATAAGAGAAATATGGCTGACTTTGCAGAGCATTGTGAAGGTTAAGTAATATAATTGGAGTGCCCAGTACATACAATGCCCAGTAAATTCTAGTTAACTGGTGGGAGCTAGAACCTGCTCGGTCTGGCCTGAGGGGACTGACTGTGGAAAGGTGGGAAGGTGAGCTTGAAAATATTCTTCCCTAGCAGACACTCATCCTCACGTAACTCTGGAGAGGCTCACAAAATGTACCTGGGCAATCACTTTCGATGAATGAACAAAAGTGAAATATACTGAGTACCTATTAGGTACCAGTCCTACAAACTGAGAATTTAGCAGTGACAAAGCCCTGCTGTCACTTGGAGAGCTTACAATCTAGCATGGGAGGCTAACAACAAAAATATGAGATGGTTAGAGGAGCTGTTAAGAAAAATTACATGGGGTAAATGGATTAAGAGTATTGTGAGAGCTCCGTTTTCCATAGGAAGATCAGGGAAGGCCTCTCTCAGGAGTGACCTGAGCGAAGTGAGAGAATGAGCCATACAAAGATCTGGGGAAGAGCATTCTAAATAAAAGGAACAGCAAATAAAAAAGCCCTGAGAGAGCATTAGCTGTATGTTTAAGAAACATCATTTACCCCACAAGGCTATGCAGGGGTCTCCTCAACTATACCACAATTTCCTTGAGAGTCAACATTTCTTCTGCCCATATCTGTATGCCCAGCACAGGGCCTGCATCTACTGTGCACTCAATAAATACTTTTTTAACTGGACAGTCATGTACAAGAAGTGAGATGAAAGGCACAAAAGGGAAAGCAGAAGTCTGGCTCAGACTAGGTAGATAGTTCTTGAAGGTTAGGGTCCAGGGAGGGCCTGTTGCACAATTTTGCAGCTGAAAGGAGTAATGGCATGCAGTCTTGCAGAGAGATGCTCCTTCTCTTGGTACCAAGAAAAAGAGCCTCCTATGCAAGCTGCCCCAGTTCCATGGGGAGCAGTGAGAGCAGCCATGCGCCCCGCCTCTAGTACACCGCTGCGGCCACAGAGGCTGCACTGCGCAAGCACTGCAGCAGTCAGTGTCCCATGCAGGAGAAATGCAGCCTAGGGAGTAGGAACATCAGATGTCACACACCCTGACGGAGCTCCCCAACCCCGCCTCTGCCTATTGTGGGGCCCACCACTGAAGGGAAAAACAGCATTTAGCACTGTCCCCAGTTCTCTTGCTGCAAGGACTTCACTACTGTCAGAGAGCAACTCCTGGACGCTTGATGCCTGAAGGGCATAATAGCCACAGGAGGAGGCAGAGAGAGACTTTGAAGACAGTGAGCCACAGCTGAAATTTGATCGCCAGATTCTGTCACAAGCCACCTCCCAGAAGCTCCCTCCTGGCTCCTTGCCTCCTCACTCCCCTACTTCTTTCCCTGCAGCCCAGCCAGGAGCCGGCAGTCTGTGACAAGAGCTCTACCCCATTTGACTTCTGCCCTTGCCAGATCTCTGTCTTGGGACAGTCTGGCTCCGCTGGCAGCTCAGTGTGGCCTTCTGCTTCCCCTCATTCCCACTCAGGAACAGCTAGTCTCTTCTGGCTGTGACTTCTATCTTCCCTAACTCATTCCAGCTGTCTGGCTGCAGTCACCCACCTAGCAGAGCACTAAATCTGCACCCCCAATCTACTCTGGCTGCTTCTGGCCCATGGGCAAGTCCTTTGCTGTTTCTGTACTTACCTTTCACAGCTAAATCAGTTTAGAAATTTTCAAAAGTTTACTAATAAACTAAAGCTCTTGTTTGCAAATGTAATCCTCAAACCAGCTGCATCAGCACCACCTGGTAGGTTGCAGAAGTGCAAGATCTCATGCTTCATCCCCAGACCTACTAAATCAGAAATGCTGGGGATGGGGTCCAGTAATCCGTGTTTCAACAATCCTCCAGGTAATTCTGAAACACACTAAAACTTGAGAACCATTGAAGTAAGAAAAAGCAATTTTTTTATAAAAGGAAAAAAAGGAACTACAGAGGCATAAAAACAGATGATATTTCAAATTTCTCTAAGGCTGTTGTGTAGAGGAAGGAGCTGACTTATTCTCTAATATCACATGGATAAAATTAGACCCAAATGGTGGACGCAACAGGAAGATAGATTTCCACTCAACCAAAAGTCCATGCAGAGTAGAAATGGACCTTGTTTGGTAGTGAGGTCCCCATCAGTGTAGTTATCCATGCAGGAGATGGGCATTTGTTCGGCAGAGCTGTCCTAGGGGCATCAGGCACTGGGAGAGTAGTAGAGATAATCTTTAACATCTTTCTGAAACTTGAGGTTCTATCATTCTGCAAACTAGAAGCCAATAACTATACATTCCCTTTCTGACTCAGCTTTGCAACTGTACTCACTTCTGGAATGCCCTCTGAATCTCTCCCCACCTCGACCCTCACAGGACCCACTGCAAGAGCCCACTCCTTCCTGGGAGAGAACATTAGGGGGCAGGTAACTAAACTTGTAGCCATTATGATGTTACTGTGTCACAACACCTTCTTTATATATAATGGTCTGGTTAGGCACTGGGGACACTGAGATGAGTGGAGATCTGGAAGACACCAGTGTTCCATCATATCTTGCCTTGACTCTTGAAATGCCACTGGACTCATCATGTTCAGAGAATGACCAAGAACAAAGCCAATTTATCTGCCTGTTTATCTCCTCATTGTAAAACACTTCTGGCCCCCCGCCAGTTCTCTCCGACACAGAGGAACAAGTCACTGTTACTAGTGAGAACATTACTCACCATCCCCTCTCCCTCGTACAGACTCTGAAAATGGGCGAGGCCAGAGTGAGACAGGTGGTTGAGCCTAGGGAGATCAAGGACTGTAGTGAACTGACTACACTTCTAGTTCATTAGCTAAGCACCCAGATTGTCTGAATTTAAATGCCAAATCTACCACTTACCAAGTGTGTGGCCTTGGGCAGTTACCCTCTCTGTACCTCAATTTTCTTATTTGTAAAATGAGTATATTAATAGTACCCACTTGAAAGGGCTGTCATAAAGATAAATAACAATGTATGTAAAGTACTTAGAATAATGCCTGACGTATAGAAAGTACCTAATAGATGTTAGCTATCTACTATTATTTTCTAATAAACCAGTCTCCCGATTAACAGCCCCAGGAAATGGTGTCTGTGAGCCCTTTGCTACTGCAATGCCATTGCTGTCAGGCTCAGATGGTACTATGTCAGCACTTTCTAGGGAAATAAGTCTCTCTTTCTTTTTTTTTTTAATCAAAGTATCATCAATATACAATCTTATAATGGTTTCACATAAACAACACAGTGGTTTCAACATTCAACCAAGTTCTCATCCCCCCATTGCACTCACTGTCTATCAGCTTAATAAGATGCTAGAGTCATTACTTCTCCGTGTTGTACTGCCTTCCCCATGATCTACCTATATTGTGATTGAGGATTATTGTGCCCCTTAATCCCCTTCTCCCTCCCTCTCCACCCACCCTCCCCAACCCCTCCCGTTTGGAAACCACTAGTCCCTCCTCCGTGTCTGAGTCTGCTGCTATTTTGTTCCTTCAGTTTTGCTTTGTTTTTATACTCCACGAATGAGTGAAGTCATTTGGTGTTTGTCTTTCTCTGCCTGATCTAAGGAAATAAGTCTCTTGAAATGCATTCTTTATTCTGAAGGTCAGTCTGAACTTAATCCTAGCAATAGGACTTTGAAGAGAGAAGATGACAGGATGTAAGCTGGAAGAATGAAACTTAAAATAAGCAGGCAGGAAGGGAAGATAACACCAGGGAAGTATTAGGAAAACCTTGGAACAAACAGGAGGTGGAATATTCTGTAGCCATGAAAATTTTTGAAAAGTACTTAGCAATGTGGGAGAAAGCTTAACATTACAGTTTTTAAAACAAAACAAAACCTTAGCTAGAATACTTTTTTTCTAAATACAACTGGGTAGTATCTACTAGAGAAAATTAACTAATACATTTATAAATTTTTCATTTGTTTATAACTTTTAGCTTAGGTAATGTGGCATTATTTATTTATGAAACTCAGCCTGGTTTCCTGTTATCAAATGCACTACCTACAAGTAGTACACATTTACTTCTCTGCTTTCATGAAAGCAAATCAAAGACAGTAAACTAGCTTTGAAATAGAAACTCAAATTTAGCATGACTTCCTCATGATTAAAAAACGAAGAAAAAAAGAGGTTGGAAAGAAAGATTAGTAGTGGTCAGATTGTTACAGTCTCTAAATTCCAAGCTGGGGTGTTGGGATTTGAGTATGTTGTAAGTGGGAAGCGCTTACAAGTTTATGGGCAGAGTTATTTTAGGAAACTTGATTTGGCAGGAGAAATAAGTAGGACAT